ATAATGAATATATATACTGAAATATCTTTAATAAAATTGAATTTTATAAAAATTTGTCTTTCTTACAATAATTTTGACTTAATTTACATTTTATATATTTTCTTATATATAGACAATGTTTGTTGCAACCGGTAAAGTTTATTTATGATTTACATTGTGATTTTGAAATATGACAGAATCGGAAGTCTTTTTCTAACTAAACTAATCGAAAATTTTCGTTTTTTGAATCTCTCATCACATCTACGTCAAAGTTCCGCAATTATACAACATCAACTAACTTTGAAATAAAATAGAACAACAGAACAAATAATTGGCTTCAAATAAACTTTATAAAGCTTTTGAAGGTAAAAAATATTGTTCCACAATCTTTTTTGGAGATTTGACAAAGTACTTCATGAATGCTTTAATAAAAAAGATAACCTTGAGCAATACTGATATTCTTATTCTTATACTTAAAAGGTATTAGAATCATATTAAAATTAAAAAAAGCCAAATACTATATTATCCGTGATATGAATATAATATGTCATGTAAAATCCTAGAAGATAGTGTTTTTGGCTCAGTGCTATATACGTCATGTACGTCAAACGTCATGTAAAATCCTAGAGGATAGTGTTTTTGGCTCCGTGCTATATACATCCTATATGTATATAGGATGTATATATTCAAGCGGCCCAGCCGCTTGATCTCTTAACTGAAAAATTGGCATAGACATTGCTAATATAAATGTATCTAATTGAGTTTAAAAATACAAACACTCATTAGCGCCATTATAAAAAATTAAAATTATTTTTTGACTAAAACACCAGTATTTTCATTATTCTACAACTCTTCTCTAAAGCCTATTTGGACATAGTAAGCTCTCACATGATTCTTGCTCAATTAGCATTATCTGGTTTGTTGTATTGGTAGTAATGAGTAAGCCCACCTAAAAGTGTGTCTAAAGTGATATTTTATTTATATTTGCTATGATATTTTTTATTGATATATTTGCTACGCATTAATATGATATGCTTTATTAAAAAAAAAAAAAAAAAAAATTGAAGAAAAACGATTTATGACTAGATTTGATGATACTACCAAAGATTAAAATAAATCATAATTGAACCCTATAATGATGTCTAATATGCTTTATATTTGTTTTTAAATACTATAAGAGTATAGGATCTTGAACTTCCTAAGTTATGCTTGGCGGTACGATACTATTTTTGTTGTCCAATTAATTTTTGGATTTTTAATCATTTCTTATTTGGATAGTACTAAGTTAGACCAAACACTAAAATGTTGACATTGTCACAAAATATGTGTTTGGAAGCGCAAATGAAATCTCTAAGAAAGAGGTCTGACAAAAAACTACTGTGAAAACCTAAATTTAATGAAATTGCGACTCGAAAATTTTAATTCCCATGGTTTGATGAGATGGAAAATTGATGGGAAGTTACGACTAAAAAAGTATTGTAAGATAGACCAGTTCTATACTTCCGCTATAGTGCCAATGCTGAAGGCAATTATAATATTTTAATAGTTAGTCGTTATATAAAATATATAAATTATTAATGTGTATATAATATAATACTCATGAACTTAAAGGAGAAGAAAATTTGATATGAACATAGTTTGAACCCTTAACTCAGTTATGTATATTGTCTTGCCTCTTCTGTATTTACTTAACTTATGTCACTAATGGAGTGTGTACATCATTTACGAGGTTAAAACAAAACATAGTAAAATGCACAAAATGGAAAGTAAATCAATGAAGTAGATAAATTATTTTCCATTTATTGTTATTACTTTTTTGTATGTAATTCTGTAGTTGTGCTTTAGGTTAAATCTGGAACTGATTTTGCATACCGCATATGGAATCGTATTTATATATGCAGATTGTGCTTTTGAATGTGTGTGTGGTTGTACATGACACTGTGTGTCCTTAGCACAATGTTTTTGACGTTCTGTGCAAGTGATGTAACATTTTAATTGTAATTTAATGTTGTGTTTTAAGTAACACGATTATGTTCAATTGTTCAAATTATTTGATATTATAAATTACAGCTTTATTGTTTTCTATTTAGTCATTAATTATATAAAATGTGTGCTGACATCGTTTGATTGCTTGCATATTTGCAAAATATGTCAAAATTCGGTATGCATCGTTGTAAGCTTTATTATTTTACGCATTTATGAGAAGTTTTCAGTATAAATATCTTTCTGATAAGTTACTTAGAGCATTGAAATCTCATTAACTGATTGATGTTTAATTTTAATATTTTATAGTTAATAAATTTAATTAACATTTAATAATTTAAATAAAATATATACAAAATTTATACTTAATTTCCACATATCTAGAAATGGAAAGAGATAGATACAATCGGTACCAGTAATAGGTTGACCAATAGCTAGTCGAAACTAACTTGTCTCAGTATAATGAGCACTAAAAGTACCACCTTAATACTGACTTATAGTTTAGCTAATTT